TTTGTCAAATGTAGCGTTTAGATCATATTTGTTTTTCTAAACTCTCTTCTTTTCCCTCCTTTGATTCTCTTTCCCTCTCCCTTCTCCTCTCTTCTGCTTCAGATGGGGTATTAATGACTGCATGTTTAGAATACACTGTGGACAACGGAATAATGAAACAGACACGTTCAGACATGGCACGTGAGAGATGATGTGCATATAAAACAAAACATAAACAAGGTCACTTCCTCCTATAGAGTCCTGTGTAACAACCGTGTGCTGTAAAACAAGAGATCAGAATTCACAACAGAATAAAGGAGACAAGGAAAGGTGAGCTGCAAGGGAGCCATGGCAAAGCCACTGTCGGAGCACCTGCAGTCTCTCCGGGCTGTGCTCACTACTCTGAGTTTCAGCATCTCTTGTGTGAAATATGGACAATAACTGCTTCTGTCTCAGGGGTTTTGAGAGGATTAAAGGAGAAAAACACATGAAAAGCTCTTGGAACGAAGTCTGGGAAATAAGCCTTCAAAATAAATATTAGATATTGTGATTATTATGAATATCATTCGAGGATTAACAAGATCACATATACAAATCCTTCCCATAGATGAATAACACATTCAATAAGGTGCATTGCTGGTGTTATCACCACCGTCATTACTGTTATTCATATTTTATCTCTGGTTGATACGTGGTTTCTGCCTCTTCACTCGGCCTCTCTGGTCTGATGCTGTAGTGGACAGTCTCTTTAGTGCTTGGTTCAGATTTTGCCCCATTATCCTAGCTTGTAGATTTCCTAAGATTTCGCTCTCTGGAAGCCATGAGTCAATCATGCCTTATCCATGTGTTCAGGGAAACTATGTACATAGAACTGCCCAAAGCGGAACTCCAAATGCAGCTTGGCCGGTTGATGGTGCGCAGACAACTAACTAGATAAAGGCCAACAATGCTCATGACTCCTATGAAAAACCGTCTTGGACTATTATGGAGGGAGGGTTGCTTGTTTGTGCTTTTAATGGTAAAAAGAGTAACCAACTCTTCCCTACGACACCATAACTTTTGGGCAGAGATGGCTTATAAACAGCAACAGAGCAAACTTTCAGCCAAATACTGAGAAAAGCATTCCCAGGCTGACACAGATGTTCAATTTGCATACTAAGTCCACAAAAACCTGTTGATGGACGGCTTCATGGACAAGGCATCCAGCACAAAGACTTGTTTTACTGGATCATTATCCTTGGTTTAAAAAAACAGCCTCCAGGTTGTATCGTCTATGAGTTCTGGGTCTGAGTCTGCTAAGGGTGCTTACACCATGATGTGGGAATGAAAAGGGCCATATTTCGGCTCTAGGTTTTCAATGTGTCACAGAAAGGGAATGGATGTTTAAATTGAAAGTTGTATAAATACACGGTACTAGGTTAAATAGGAAAATATAAAGCCCCAGTCTCAATGTGGCGTAGGTCTACAGTGATGTCTTGCTTCTCAATATTCCCAGCACTGGTTATTAAGACCAATCAAATGTTACTTATTTTATACTCACAGAGTTGCCTCACCAGACAATGAGCTCCTGAAAACCAAGGACTGATGGCGGGGGGTGGGGTGGGGGGTGAACTCATTTAATTCATCTCTGTAGCCTGTCACAAGAACAAGGGCAGAGAACATGCTCTTTGAAGCCAGGCATCCATCTATGCTTCCATTGACTTTGAAAGAGAATTTGAGACTTCCGCCAAGATTGAGGCGTAGGTGGAAGCATCTTGCTTCCGTGCACAACCAAATCTAAGAATAACTATTTTTAACAACAATAAACACAACCAAACCACACAGAAAATCGACAATACGGAGTCCAAAAAAAAACGAAATGCTCAGCTAAACTGGTAAGAGGGGCGAAGCCAGCAGCGGAGCGGGTTGACCCAAAAAGATCCCCGACTGGGTGGTGCGCAAGCAGCCGAAGGCGGGGATCACGGGCTAGCTACGGGCGGACACAGGGAAGAGGCACGGCTGGCTGTCTGCGGTAGGTCACGCATTTGCGTGCAGATAAACCAGTGAAGAGGTGAGCACTGAGACCGCAAGGCGCGGGGCAGCAGGCTCGCACAATTCTGCTCGGATAAATAGGCCGGGGCGAGTGGTGGGACGGACTGGGCTAGTGGAGAGGACCGCCATTGCTCCCTCTCTGACCACACCCCCACACACAGCATCACAAACCAGCGACCTGGGTGGCCCTGCCCTGGTAAAGAACTAAGGCTTCGCTCCTCTTACTTACCAGCGCGAACAGAACAAAAATGGCTCAAGACCAACTCATAGCCCCAGAGCGGATCAATCTAAGCAGTGAAGAAATAGCCAAACTTTCAGATACACAGTTCAAAACACTGGTGATCAGGATCCTCACAGAACTGGTTGATTTTAGTCACAAATTAGAGAAACATATGAAAGCTAAACTAATTGAAATGAATGGTAATGCAAAGGAAACCAATAGTAATGGAAAGGAGACTGGGTCTCAAATCAAGGGAGTATACCAGAAGGAAGGAAAAAATGACCAAGCAGAAAAGAATGAAGAAACAACAATTCAAAAAAAAAGAGGAGAGGCTTAGGAACCTCCAGGACATCTTTAAACGTTCCAAAATTTGAATTATAGGGGTACCAGAAGGGGAAGAGGAAGAGCAAGAAGTGGAACACTTATTTGAACAAATAATAAAAGAGAACTTCCCCATTCTGGCAAAGGAAATAGACTTCCAGGAAATCCAGGAAGCTCAGAGAGTCCCAAAGAGTTGGACCCAAGAAGAAACACACCAAGGCACATCGTAATTACATTAGCCAAGATTCAAATGAAGGAGAGAATCCTAGAAGCAGCAAGAGATAAGGGGACAGTCACCTACAAAGGAGTTCCCATCAGACTGTCAGCAGATTTCTCAAAAGAGACCTTACAGGCAAGAAGGGGCTGGAAAGAAGTATTCCAAGTCATGAAAGCCAAAGACCTACAACCAAGATTGCTCTATCCAGCAAAGTTTTCATTTAGAATGGAAGGGCAGGTAAAGTGCTTTTCAGATAAGACCAAATTCAAGGAGTTCATCATCACCAAGCCCTTATTATATGAAATCTTAAAGGGACTTACCTAAGAAAAAGAAGATAAAAAAGTTGAACAGTGAAAGGACAGCAAACTCACAGTTACCAACAACCATACCTAAAACAAAAGCAAATTAAGAGGACAGCTGGATCAGGAGTGAACCATAGAAATGAAGATCACGTGGAGGATTAGCAACAGAGGAGTGGGAGAAGGAGAAGGGGGGAGAAGGAGAAAGGGGGAGAAGGTACAGAAAATAAGTAGCATAGACAGTAGATAGAAAATAGATAGGGGGGAGGGTAAGAATAGTAGGGGAAATACAGAATCTAAAGAATTTGAGACACGTGTTCATGAACTAAAGGGGGAAATGGTGGGGGAGGGGTATACAGGGTGGAGGGGAATGGAGGGGGGAATAGAAATGTAAGGGCATAATCAATAAAGAAGTTAAAAAAAAGAAAGAGAATTTCAGATAGCTAAGTATGAAATAGTAATATACTAAAAAATGGAAACTAGTGGTTATTTGCATCCCCATCCAGCTTTGGATCAGATCATTTTTAATTTGCCTGAACATTTAAAAGAGCTGGTGGGAAAATCAGGCCATAAACAGATGATTTCAATAGAACATAGCAAAAGTGAGGTTGGGTGATTGAGTCTAAGTCTGGAATCCCTCTGGGGCCAGCTGATCTGACCTGAACTCTCAGTCATCATTGACACTGTCCCCATTCAAGCCCTCATGGCTTTTTGTCTGTGGACTAACCTACTAACTCTGGTCTCCCTGGCTCCAGCCACACACACTGGGGGCCTTCTTCCCCAGTGCTGCTAGCCAGAGTTCTAACGACTGAGATCTGAGCATTCCTGTCCATTTTCCAAACCTTTCACTGCTTCCCCTTGGTTTACATCTGCTACATAAAGTTCAATTCCTTAGCATGCTTTACAGGGGATTCTTATGATGTGGTCCCTGCCCAACTCTCTTTAATTGTAAGTCATTCATTATAAGACAAGTTGATGCCACCACTGAAATTCTGGACTATTTGCAATTACTTTCAAATATGCCTTGTTATTTTCACTCCCATGTCCTTGTTCCTATGCCAGTTCTCTTGCCTAGAAGAGTATTCCTACCCTTCTTTGCCTTGTTTGTTCTTATTTATCTTATAAGGCTCAGCACAAATGCCTGCTTCCCTGCAAAGAGTTTCTTAACCTTGCTTTGTGCCAGTTCTGTGCCTTGTACCTCTGGCTCAGTGCTCAGCTCACTTTTATCGAACTCCGTCTTCCCTGTTAGACAACTGCAGGCACTCAACAAATTTTTAGCAAGCACCTTCTAAGAACTGAGCTGGATACAAAGAGAAGCATCCCTGACTTTAAGGAGCTCCCATATTTCTGGAAAAGAAACAATGATAAACCAGTAAGAATAACAGAATATGACAAGTAGAGGTGTGTCTTAAAAGACAAGTAAAATTATCAACGAGGTAAAGAACTCTCTGAGCAGGGAGACCAGCCCATACAAAGGCACAAAGTCCTGGGGATGCTCTGAGTAAGGTGATCTAGCCTTGGTGACAAGTACGTGTGTGGACCTGGAGGGGATACCCCACAAAGAAAATGATGCACACAGGAAACTATTTGAACTATGCCCAAGGGCTATGAGGAACCACTGAAGGATTTGGGCTGGAGAGTAGCATGGTCCTTTTTACAAAGTACAGTATCACTCTCGCTGCCATGAGAAAACGGACTGTTGTGTGAACGAGATGGGAAGCCAGGTTAGTCATCATCGCCTAGACCAACACTGGTTCCTTCAGCAAGCACATGCTGTGTACCCTCTGTCAGACTGTACAGTAAGAAAAAGTTAATTCTTCTCATTTAGGGTTCGGCAAAACTTCCAGATACTCAGTATATGGGTAGTGTGACAAAATGAGCTAGTCGTGGGTATAAAAACATTAAAGACCATAATGAAAAAGTGTCAGCTTACCAATTTCCCAGTAACACTCTGTCCACCTTCATTTAGCCAGAACCCAGGAACCATGGCTGAGAAATAAGGACCCCAGACACCTGGTACAAAAATCGGATCTTTGCTAATCTGGAAAGAAAAGGACAAAATATGTGAAAATACCGACCTTCAGGACTAGATGGAGCCTTCTTCTCTCATCTGGTGTTCCTATGACTATGAAATTCAGCTTCTTATTAAATACCTCTTATAGTGGGGAAGTCACTACCTCCAAAGAAAAGGCGTGGCTTCATCTCCAGAAATCTTTGCGATCAATTCATTAAGATGCCAGGATAGCAAAAGACATCATTTTTGGAAAGAAACTAATAAGACATTTCCTCACTGGCTCCCTCTCCATGGGAGATGGATTGCAAAAATGGTCCCCTTTTCTACCCATCCATGATTCCGCCCCCTTTGCAATGTGACCTTGCAGCTCCTCTCATGGATCTTGAATCTGGGCCAGCCTGGTACTTTATTTTGGCCAACAGAGTGAGGCAGAGGGGACACTGTGCCAGTTGTCCAGGCCCAATCCTCGAGGCCTGTGTGTTCCTCCACTCCTCCACTTGCTCCTCCACCTCTGCCAGGAGAGCATGCCCCGGCGAGCCTGCTGGGTGGAAATCATGCAACACAGCTGTTGCAGGTGATGCTCGTGTACATACATGATGAGAGAGCAAAAACAAGATTGGCAAATCCTCCTAGTGGACAAGTAGCTAACAAGTCCAGATCACCAGAATCGCCCAGCCATCTGATAGGTTTGTGAACAAAAACATGTCTTGTTGTATGTCACTAAGATGTTGTGTTTGTTACTGAGCATTTTTATGGTAATAGATAACTGCTACATTCCCTTCCTTCTACCCACATTTATTAGTCACCCTACAGGATGCCATCTCCCTCTCCTGGGTGCTGGAGACACAGAAATGAATCAGAGTTCTTCCTTGTCTATAAGAAGCTGCCCATCTTGAGGGAGTTCCACAAGTAAACAGACAAAGGGAATACAGTGTGGTCCATGGGATGGTAGAGACAAACTTATATCGTGGTGGGGAGTGAGGAGGGAAATGCTTTAGAGGTGGCTTCTTAGAGAATGGGACATAAGCTTAGACTTATAGGATTTCACCAGATAAACAGAACAGACATTTCAGGTCAAGAAAAAAGTTGGGAGCTCTGACTGGTGAAGCTCAGTGGATTGAGTGACAGCCTGTGAACCAAAGGGTTGCAGGTTTGATTCCCAGTCAAGGCACATGCCTAGGTTGTGGGCCAGGTGCCCAGTAGGGGGTGCTTGAGGGGCAACCACACATTGATGTTTCTCTCCCTCTCCTTCTCCCTCCCTCTAAAAATAAATAAAGATCTTTTTTTTAAAAAAAGAAGAAGAAAAGAGCTAGAACAATGCTGCACAGGTGAGGTGCACTGAACAGTCAAGGCGCCGCCACTTTTTGTAGCCGCCCATGGAAGTCCTTTCAAGTGTTAGGAAAATATATAAAGAGAAAAGCCAGGACAGACAAGGATGGACCATGTGTTCACTCCTCTGGATTGGCACATGCTTCTCATCTATCCAGCAGGGATGGACGCTGACGTCGTAATTATGTTTGTGGAAAGGTACAGTTTGAGGGAGGGGGATCAAAGGGAACTAGGCACACAAGGTCCACTTCTGCATGTCCTGAGGCTGGACAGAGAATCGGCCACTCATTTATTCTACAAATATTTATTCAGCCCTTCTTATATGCTTGGTCCCGTGCCAGGTCCTGGGGATACAGAAATGAACTAAACATATATAATTTCTGCCCTCATAAAATTTATAGTCCAGCATCTTAGCACAGGGACAAACCTTCTTTAAATGTCTTGACCCCAATTATTATAGTTCCCTTTTCACTAAACTATGAGCCCTCAAATAAGAAGGATTTCTAACTCCCAGACAGCAAGGAGGTAAGGGAAGACAAGGAAACTCACAACACTGTCAACGTTAAATGCTGTCAAATGAAAAGAATTTATGAAAAAGAGACATCTTACACCTCAAACAGAAAAAATAATCTCAGGGAAAATAGACCGGTTTCTACAAGAAAAGACAGCTGAGCTTCCATTGACAGAGTCACTCCTTTTCTTACTGGTTCAGAGGACGTTTCCCGAACTACGTTTCCTGTAGTGACCGCACTTGTGCCAGGCGCTGGGCATGAATGGCGAACAAAAGGAGCAAGTCCCAGGCCCTCCTGGAGCCTGCGTGCCCGACAGAGGCAGACCAGGGGGCAACCATTCAGGTTTGGCCAGCACTTCCTGAGGTTTGGCAGGGAAAGTGCTGTGCCCTGGAAAACCCTTTAGTCCTAGGCAAACTGGGACACTGATCGGTCACCCTGAGACAGATGTTGATAAAATCGTCCCACAAACGTGGGGTTACAAACTGCCATAAGGAAATGAAGGAAAATGAAAGGCTACTATAAGCGCGTGTAAGTGAGGTACATAATCTAGGGGTCAGGGGAGGCTTTTATAGAAGATGATGAAAAACATATATAGAAATTATCCAGAGAGGTGCGAGGGTGTGTGTGTGCATTTGTGTATGAGTGTGAGTGATATGAAGTGTTCCAGCCAGAGAAGGAACACTTGATGGGTTTCACTTTTATCACGTCATCTTCACCAGTGAAAATTTTATCATACGCCAGCACTAAAACTGCTCCCTAAGCTGCTTTGGGGAGAATAAGACCGTCCATATTCATAATCTCCTGGGCCCCAGGGTTTAAAAGGACAGGCAGATGGACACCCACCAAAATAAGTTTGTCTCTTTTTATGCCCTGCACCCCTTCCCTTCCAGAACATGTAGCCCCATTTAACAGATTAGTCTCAGAGAGGTTGAAAAAGCTGTCCATGGTCACACAGTGAGTAACTGGCCAAGGTGGGATCTGAACTCAGACAGATGTTGGCCTCGAACCATATATGTTTTTTTAATTGGATAAATAAATTGCTCAGAATGGCCAGCGTTCCAAAGGTCACGCATTGCTCCCCCACCAAATCGCACAGTTTCAGCACGTTCCTGGGGCAGCTGCAGCAGAACCTTGTTGGACACTGTGGTTCTGCTTCTCAGAAACGTCAGGTGGAGGCTCTGCCTGGCTCTGTCCGGGGAGAAGGTTTTGCGTTGACTCCAGTCTGTGCTCAGACGTCTGGAATGGCACATGCTTCTCATCAGACATGCTGAGTAAAGCAAGGCGACGAAGACACGGCGCTGTTTCCCAGACCACTTCCAAGCGCTCCTAAACTCCGTGCTCTTGGAGAAACCAAGTAATAGTTTGTTTTGAGGGAGAGAGAAAGAGAAGGCACATTTGTATATTTATGTGTGCTTCACTCCTTTGCAATAAACCTAAATATTTAAAAATATTTTGCTGAAAGCCATTTCCATGCTGATGGCTAACTTGGCCTGGAGGCTGCTCTCTTAGCCAAAAGGAGAGAGTCCATTTTCCTCTGCTGACAACAGGTGTCCTTATAGGATGCTGACTTCCCAGTAATAATGGTGCTGCTGGCAACGACAGTAGCTAAGATTGACTGGATACTTACTAAAGGCCTTATTATAAGCACATTACAGGAATTAAATCACTTACTCCTCATAAAAATCCTAAGGAAAGATTCCATCATTATTCCTATTATACAGAAGTCCGAACTGAAGCAGACTGTTAAATAACACACCCAAGGCTATGACAACACAAAGCAGAGAGGCATCACACTCTCTGGGATCTATTTGCGGCTCTGCCAAAATATGGCCATGTTTTTAGGCTACCATTTGAACCCTTCATTCGCCTTTTGAGGGCAGAAAGCAAGAGCCATTAGAAACACAGACTCGCTCAAACTGAACACACCTGACCTTGAACACAAGTAGGTTAGGGAAACTTCATTTCCAAAAGGCTTTGGTAAGTTTTCCTGATATAGTTGTGAAAAACAAAGAAGAGAGCATGAATGAGTCAGAGTCCTAACTTGATTCCATTCACAACTGCCATTCCAGCCAGAAGACCTTACACTGTCTGGGCCTCAGTTTCCTCATTCCAACATGGGAGGGATAATGTGAATGTTGGAAAGATTAAGTAACCTGGCACAAATATCATTTGTGTTAAATACCAAATAAACCTTATTTCTCCTTGAAAGGAGGCTTGTATGATGGCCCAGTCAGGTGACTGGGTTGAATGACCACATCCAACGTAAGAGAAACCATGTCAGGTCTCTTGATTAATCCTTGGTCTACTGAGTCAACATTCTTTTTTTTAAAATTTTCATTTATTTATTTTTAGATAGAGGGGAAGGGAGGGAGAAAGAGTGGGAGAGAAACATCAGTGTGTGGTTGCCTCTCTCATGCCCCCTACGGGAGACCTGGCCTAAAACCCAGGCATGTGCCCTGACAGGGAATCGAACCAGTGACCCCTTGGTTTACAGCCTGTGCTCAGTCCACTGAGCTACACCAGCCAGGGCTCAGTAACATTCTTAATAATGAAGTAGAAGAGGATATAGAAGTAAAGCTTATCATATTTTCAGGTGACATAAACTTGGAGGACTATTTATTTTGAACATGATCAAATCGAGATTCAAAACTGCTTCAAATGAAGCAAAACAGAACAAAAAAGATAGTTAACATTTACAGTTAAAATTTGCATGTAAAAGGTAATGGCAATGTTTTCTTTCACAACATTCTTTTCCATGGATGTTGGTACATGGGTATTCAGTTTAGTATTGTTTAAACTGTATGCAGACATTTGATATAATCTCTCATTATGTGTAATATAAAGAAAGCTAATGAAAGCCACAATGAAATAAAATATTTGACTACACACCATATGCCAGGCACTGAGATCAGCAATAAGGCTATAAAAATAATAAGGCAAAATAATAATAATAATAATAATAATAATAATAATAACAACAATAGCAGTAGTGTGACGTGGCCCCTTTCCTCAAGGAGCACCCAGTCTGACCAGAAGACAGAAAAACTATGAGGACGCATGCTAAGTGTTAGGTAAGGTAGGAGAGGAGTATGGGAGGGGCTCAAACTGCCTGGGAGGCGGAGCACCTCACTGGAGCAGTCAGTCAACACCGGAGCTGGGCTGGAAGGAGGGGTGGGTGTTTTCTGA